CAATTCTTTACTGTTGAAGTAATACTAGGTAGGAGGCATTTCAGACCAAAGCTTATCAAGGCATATGCATTACTATTTTTAAACACTTAAGAAGGACCATGATGGGTTTAAGACGACAGGTGGACATGTTTGTATTGCTGCTGAGTTACATCACTTTATGGGAGCATTATCTCAACACCACACGGGCTGCTTGTCATGAGTTGTTGGTCTGTATGGAACTGCAAAATGTTCTTTTTGGTAACACTTTACAAAAAGGTTCCATAATGTTAGTTAATGTATTAGCTAACATGAACAAACAATGAACTATACATTACGGTATTTTATTAAACTTTGTTAATGCTAGTTCATGAAAATACAGCTGTTCATTGTTAGTTCATGTTCATTCACAGTGCATTAACTAATGTTAACAAGCACAACTTTTGATTTTAATAGGCTAATGCATTAGTAAATGTTGAAATTAACATTAACTAAGATTAATAAATGCTCTAGAAGTATTGTTCATGCTTAGTTCATGTTAACTAAAGTAGTTATGAACCTTATTGTAAAGTGTTACCGTTCTTTTAAATCTGTATTCAAGAGTTCCTCATTTACCAGATCACATTTATATACTTTATCATTTACTTTTGATTTTAATAGGCTAATGCATTAGTAAATGTTGAAATTAACATTAACTAAGATTAATAAATGCTCTAGAAGTATTGTTCATGCTTAGTTCATGTTAACTAAAGTAGTTATGAACCTTATTGTAAAGTGTTACCGTTCTTTTAAATCTGTATTCAAGAGTTCCTCATTTACCAGATCACATTTATATACTTTATCATTTCATATCAAAAGTAGAATAAAAATATATCAATTAATATATTTATTTATAAGCATATAATAAATATAATATTACACTATTAAAAAAACCCTGAAATTGCGCAGTTGTTACCTTCAGAGGCTATTTCTATCTCACCTGACATTAAAAATGACTTCTTGCAAGTTAAACCGAATACAGTAAAGTTGATTCAGTCATATTAAATAGTATTTGACTTATAAAACTAGTTCATTTATATTTTACAGCAGTATGCAGACTACTAAATGATCCTGCTAAATAAATATATCTGAAAACAGTAGAAAACTAGCAGTTCATCCATCAAAATATACAGTGTTGCTGTGCACCAACCCTAATACATACTGTGAGAATTTATTTTAATCATGAACCACAGGAGGTCTTTTCGTGAGGAGTCAGCTGGAAGTTTTTACTTCTGGTTCCTCTGAAGAAGAAGTCCACAGCGACTAACGTTACAACGTTACT